ACTCTGCTCATCACTATTTCTCTAGATTCACCTTATTGTCGTCGTTCGTTCAGGCATCTTGTCGGCAATCCTCGAGGAACAAAACTCGATGACGTCGGAACAGTAGCAAGAGCAGCAAGTCACGATAAAGGAAGAAGCTAACAGCAAGAAGAACTGCACCTGAAAAGTTCAATATTTCAGTTCTAAATGTAAATCTGCACACAGTTGACTCGTCATCTAACCCTGGGCATGCAAAACATCTGAAGAATGCAAACACTGAGGCCCCGTTCGTAATGAGGCAAGGTGACTCTAGCGAACGATTTGATGCGATAGGCATACGACACTGAAAATGCTCAAAAGTTCATCGAGAAGTGGCCTGCCTGAAAGGGCCTCATCCATGTAAACAGAAGAAAGAGGTCGGTGCAGTACGTCGTGGAAGCTAGTCTTTTAGATGTTACGTGTTATTCAGCATGTTCCGGTATACGAAAGTGTTTTGATGTTCTTTGAATCATAGACAGCAGAAATCTCCCTTAGAAGACGGAAAAAGACACGGTAGGTACAGATGTTATTGTCAATAAGAATAACTGCTGACTGTTTCAGAGCTTACAGCCATTCTTGAAAACCACCGTAGAAAACTCAGTAGTATATACTCCACCAAAATTTGCAAAACCAAAGATGCTGACTTACCCGCAGCCGCACTGGATTACAGGGAGCTGGTGGATTAATCCCAAATGTTGATACTTGTCAGAAATCAGGCACTAAGCATAATTATTAATCCGAACACATCTTCATCTTCCACCGCCGCTTCTCCTTTCGGGTCGCTGGGGCAGACGGGTCAGACAGTGCTTCCAACGTTCCCGATCCTGTGCCAGAGTCTGACCTTCGGCAAAAGACAATTGCAGTCTGGAACAGACTCCTTCCATATGTTTGCAACAGGTTAATCTTGGCCGCCCCCTGGACCTTCTGCCGGTCGGATTTGCAAGGAACACTTGCTTAGCCTTCCTTTCTGGAGGCTTTCGCAACACATGCCCAAGCCATCGCAGATGTGACTTCTCAACCTGGGGAAGCAAAGGCTGTAATCCAAGGCTCTTCCGGATATTACTGTTCCCGACCATGTCGAGACGCGTAAGGTCAGCGACTCGTCTAAGAAAGCCCATTTCAGCAGCTTGTACTCGGGTTCGAAGTTTTTCAGTGATGGTCCACGATTCATGACCATAGGTAAGTATGGGGATCGACTTGAATATTGAGAGCTTAGTTTTCAGACTGAGCTCTGCCTTAGCCACAGTGAGTCGGGCTAATTCATCCAGAACGCCACTGACTACTCCTGTTCGCCGGTCGATCTCTTCCTCCAATTTTCCATTACTAGTAAATGCAATTCTGAAGTACCTGAACTTCTCCATCTGCTCCATTGCCTCTCCGTTTATCTGAAGAGAGCGACGGGCAGGAGAACAAGAAAGCACTAGGCTTTTCGTTTTAGATGCCTTCACACGCATGCCGGTCACGTCGCACTCGGCTGCGAACGTTTCTAAGGAGCACTGAAGATCAGTTTCAGAAGTTGTTAATAAAAAAAGGTCGTCTGCAAACAGCAACCTTCTCGACTTCACACCTGCTGCATCGTACCCTCATCGCTTTGGGAGCTTCTCGCTATTCTATCCATGTACAACACAAACAGGATAAGGGACAGGACACAGCCTTGGCGGAGGTTTCAGCTTAATGCCATTAACTCTGACACAGCACCTGCTATCAGAATACAGTGATTGGATGGCCCTTAGCAACTTGCCATCTATCCCGTATGCGCGAAGGCATGTTAACAGACTGTTGCGTGGGATCCGGTCATACGCTTTCCATAGGTCCACAAAACACATGTACATCGGCTGGGCGTGCTCCCACGATTTCTCAACAATCTGGAGCAGGGCAAATATATGGTTGGAGGTCTTTCGACCGGGCCGGAAGCCACACTGCTCTTTTTTGATCTTGAGGTCAACTATTTCACGGCGCCTTCTTTCTAGAACCTTTGTGTAGACTTTACCTGAGAGGCTCAATATAAGATTATGCCCCTATAATTGCAGCATTCCTTGTGGTCTCCATTCCAGAATACCGGTACAATAACTCCCGTTCCCTAGTCCGCTGGTGCCTGTCCCGCAGTCATCGCAGTTTGATAGACACATCTTAGCAAGCACATGCCTTGTTCGCCTAATGCCTTGAGCATCTCAGGACGGATTTCGTCAATTCCAGCAGCTTTTCCATCTTTCAAGCTTTTCACAGCTTGTTCAATTTCATCTACAGAGATAGTAATATCCGTACCCTTCTGCTCTACAGGCGAGTCTTCCTGCTGTTGCGC